AGAAAATTTGTTAAACGCTGCCTTGAAAGGAAGGTCAATTGTCCTTTCTTCCATTTCTTTGCTGCAGCCTTTCTTTTTTTCCTTCCAGTGCTCCTCTGCCCCTCACGTCGGCCCTAATAGTAGCAAATAAAAACGAGTTTCAGCATAAGTTCAAGATTTGAAAAGATCTAAAGTATCAAATTAATCTTCCAGTAACAATGTGCAACATTTTCATACACCGGTATGAAAGTTTTCCACATAGCTACTAGGAGATTAATTTGACATCCAAATTTTGGATTTTTTAAAAATTCTTCAATATGCTCGATTCTTCAACGTGTTTTCCACTATAAATGAAATAAAATCCCATTTGGCAAGGAGCAAAAATTTCATTTCATGTTGAGGATATTTCAACAATGGCACATACTGAAAGTTACGGGCAGACAGCAGCCCGCACAGAACCATATGGAGCACCGCAACAGACATCATCGGCTTATGACGAATCGGTTCCGTACAAAAGATTAATCAGGAAGCGGCGAAATTCAAGTACGCTTATTTTTGAAGTGTAACCGATGATGTAAGAAAAAAAAACAATCTTTTGCTGCACAAGAGCGTTAAAATTGTCGCTTATCTCAAAAAATTGTAATAAATTAGTCAAAAACAAATTTTATTGGAGAGCTTTAAAAAGCAACCAGTAAAGCGATATAAACAAGAAAAAAATACCGGCTCTGGAATCCTAAAATCGCCAAGACGCAAAAAATTCAGTCCAAAAACGATGGCAATGGCACTTTTATGCAACCGAACATGAAGAATTATGAAGCTACTTAATACAAAGGGCGCCATCTAGGGCAAGAACCTCGAAGGTGAATTGTTTTAATTCAACCTGGATATTTACACCTCTCAGTAGCTCGCCAATTCGTTCAAAAAACGAACTAGTCTGGATGAAGCAGTCATTATTGGAGCACTTTTCCAGCATTTCTGCGGCAGAGCAAGAGCACCAAACTTCCTCGGGGACTGGTAGTGAGTTTAATACGCGCATTTTTGGCCTCTGTTCTGGCTATGACCTTATATATTCCTTTCTATTACGTTACAAATTCCGATGTCTGTTCTAGTAAGTGAACGTTTTAGCCAGTGCACAGCTGTCTTGTAATGCACCAGTTGCAGCAAATCAGCAACGTTCTGTTCGAAGTTCCCTTCGAAATGTGGTACCGCCCTATTCATCTTCAGTCCATGTAGCTGATGTTGATCTTCCGGAACAAAGCTTGACGGTATTCGGCATCGAAGATGGACCGCCACCAAGTACTTATTTTTTTGAAATTTTCTTCCCGAACTGAATTGATTATCGTAATTCCATACCGATTTTAATCAAAGATTTTTAAATCAACTGAATTTATAAAGTACCTTTGATCTTAATTATCTAT